TATATATATATATATACACACACATACACACACACACACACACATATATATACCACAAAGTCAAAGTCATATACATATGTTGTTGTTATTGTAAAGTGCCGTTGAATCGGTTTCAACCTATAGTGACCCTGTATAGGGTTTCTGAGGAGTAGTTGGTGAGATTGAACCACCGACCTTACAGTTCAAACAGCTTTGCAGTCTAGTGCATTAACCCACAGTGCTACACCAGGACTCCTCATATATATATATATTATATATTGTTGTTGTTGTTAAGTACCTTCGAGTCGGTTCTGACCCATAGCGACCCTGAACAGGGTTTCCAAGGCAGAAAGCCTCATCTTTACGGGAGCAGAAAGCCTCATCTTTCTCCCTTGGAGCAGCTGGTAGTTTCGAACTGCTGACCTTGTGGTTCACAGCCTGATTCGTAAATACTACGCTACCAGAGCTCCTATATATATGGTATATTTGGTATTTGTGGTATATATATGTATATATACACATACATATGTATACCACAAAGTCAAAGTCATACATATATATGTGTGTGTGGTGTGTGTGTGTTTATGTTATTGTTAAGTGCCATCCAGTCAATTCGGACCCATAGTGACCCTGTATAGGGTTTCCAAGGAGTGGCTAGTGAGCTTGAACTTTGTGGTATATATATATATATATTGCACATGTGCATCAAATATATACATATATATATTTCACTGGTTTTGCTTCCTTGAAAACCCAGCCTAAGCCAGCTGGACTATATGAAGAACATGACATCAGAATTGGAGGAAGGCTCAATATACAGATGACACAACCTTGCTTGCTGGATATGAAGAGGATTATTGATGAAGATCAAAGAGTACAGCATTTAGTAAGGATTACAACTCAGTGTAAAGAAAACAAAAATATTTACAACTGGATCAGTAAACATCATGATAAACAGAGAAAGAAAATTGAAATTGTCAAGAATGTCACTTTACTTGGACCCACAACCAATGATTATGGAAGCAGCTGTCAAGAAATTCAACGACATACTGCATTAGGCAAATATGCTGAACAAGACCTCTTTAAATAACAAATATGTCACCTTGAGGACTAAGGTACTCCTGACTCAAACACGGTATTTTTAATCTCCTCATATGGATGTGAAAACTGGATAACAGATAAGGAAGACCAGAGAAGTGATGCATTTGAATTATGGCATTGGTGAAGAATGCCATGGACTGCCAGAGAACCACGATATCTGTCTTGGAAGAAATACAATCAGAATGCTTCTTAGAAGTGAGGATGGCATGACTTTGCATCACATACTTTGTACTTGTCATCAGGAGAGTCCAGTCCCTGGAGAAGCACATCATGCTTAGTAGAGGGTCAGTGAATAAAAGGGAAACCCTCAATGAGATAGATTGACACAGTGGCTGCAGCAATGTGCTCAACATGACAACAACTGTGAGGGTGATGTAGGACTGGGCACTGTTTTGGTTGTGCATAGGACTGCTCAGAGTAGGAGTCAACTCCACTGTACCTAACAACTACAACAACAACATATTAACAGGCAATGAGGATAGGAAAGAACTAGAAAAGGAATGCATCGGTGCTTCCTGAAACCTGGAAGCATGTGAACTCCTTTTACCTGAGGCCATTAACTTTGAACACTTTTTAATACTCCCTTGGACTTCAATCATTCCATCGTTCTTTCAATAAACATGTAATTAGGGTGTGGCGCTGTAGGATAAGTACTGGACTGTTAACTGCAAGGTCTGCAGTTCAAACCCACCAGCCACTCCTTGGAAACCCTATACAGGGTCTCTATTAGTTGGAACCGACTCTCTGGCACTTAACAACAGGTACAAAGGCTAGATATGGACAGAGAGGTAAGTGAGCTTCAATCCGCATTGGAAAAGCTTAGCGAAGACAGGTTTGTAAAAATAACTTTACAATATATGGTAAGAAGTACCATCTCTGTCACTCCTTGACGATTCTATAACCCAAGCCATCCATAGGGAATCTTATTGCCGACCCTAGCTCTTTACTGGCTCGAGGCTCAAGGCGATTTGCCTACAGTTCACCGACAGACCACTGAAAGACTACATTTCCCGGCAGCCTCTGCAACAGGGCGTTGGAGGGGTGCACGCAGGCGCGCGGACCAGCCCCCGCACGCAGGCGCGCTGTGGAAGCCGGCTGAGCTGAGTCTCACTGCTCTGTGCGCGGCGGCGGAGAGCCAGGCCTGGTAAGCACTGCCGCGGAGCCGGCTGGCTCTTGAAGGTTGTGCGCAGAAGAGGTACAGCGGCCGGGCAAGCGAGCGGCTCACCTCAGAAGTGGCACCAGGATCGGTTGCCGTGAGCCTGGTGAGTGTTGGGGCCTGGCGGTAGCGGCCCCTCCCCCTACCACGGTGGCTCCTGCTGTCCTCGGCGGGACCGGGAGAGGCCCAGAGACGAGGGCGTGCGCCGGCCGGGGCTCGAGCTCAGGTCCCTGGGCTCGGGCGTTGGCGGCGCGCCCGTGCGTCACGGGCTCGGCTGTCCTAACGGCCGCGCGGCCGGCACTGGGGAGGGGGGGGGTGGGGAACGCTGGTGTGATCGCCGTCAGGAACGCCGGTCGAGGCGGGGCGGGGCGGCGCGGCGGCGGAGCTGGAAGCGGCGCCGGGGACTGCGGGGTGCCGAGGCGGCGCGGCGGGGCGGGGGTGAGGAGAGCGCTCAGGCTGCGCCGCGGGCGGGTGGGCGGGGGTGGGCAGCGCGGAGTGCTGTGACAGAGGCAGGCGGGAGCACGACTGGCGTGTAAAAAATCCTCACCAAGGTTGGCAGGGGCCGTTTTGGGATTTGACAAGTTACACAGCCCAGCGGGAGCCGCTGGCAGAGCGGCCTGGCAGGGGGCGGAGGGAGAAGGACTGCAGTTTACAGATGTCATAACAACACGGGCCGACGGCGGCCGACAGGGGTGTGGTAATTATAGGAATGACAGAACTTGGTGTGTGCATTGGGTGTGTAAGTGAGGATGCGAGGGAAACAGCGATTAGATTAAGCTCTGAATGTGAGAAAATTGAAGGGAGTCATCATGAAGGAACGTTTTGGGGTTCATTGGAAGTATTTAATACTCCGTTTTTAAATAAAAAATTTCAAAATGATTGATCTTTTTAAAGGCCCAGACTTAGAATAAATAATAAACGATTCTGAAATATTTTCTAAAAGCACTACTCAGTATTAATATTTCCATTCATCTCAAGCGGTTTCTTAAAGACCCCATTTCTTACCTCTACATGGGTGGAGAGGTGACTCCCCCACACCTTCCCCTCCTTCTTGCGTTAAGATTTATTTCTGACATTTTTCTTGATTTTGTAGTATTTTGAAAGTAATCCATAAATTATTTTTCTCATTTTAAAGATTGAAGAGAGGACATTTTCTCACAGGAAAGTGAGAATTAATTCTATTGCATTCTACTTAAATAATTTAGTCTTGTTTTTGTTGTTGGTGCCATCTAGTCAGTTCCAACCCATAGCGACCCTGTATAGGGTTTCCAAGGGGCTACTGGTGAGCTTGAACCGCCGACCTTGCTGCTCAAACCGATCTTTCGGTCCAGTGCTAATTCTTATAGCGCCACATATGCTTTTAATATGGAAGACATCAGAAGAAGTAGAGGAATGAACAATTATTGAGCTATTAGGGTATTGTAGATACTTTACATATATTAAAACATTTGATACTTAGAGTAACTGTAAAGTAGATTTTCTTTAAGTAGATATCAATTTTTCCTGTTACATAGACAAAAACATTGAAGGTCAGGGAAGTTAAGTAACTTATCAAAAGTCAGCCAGGCCTTATTGGAACCAGCTACAGAACCTAAAGTAATTTCCATTGTAAGAATTATTTCTCCTTTGCTTCAGTACTTAGTGGTCTTATTTCATTTATTCAATTTATGGAGTGATTGACTGTGTGCTTCAGACTGGGGGTATAGTCATGATCAAGACATTGTCCCTGTCCTCATGGAATGTATAGTGTAGTCTTTGGTGGTGGTGGTGGTGGTTATGTGCCGTAGAGTCGGTTCCAACTCATAGCGACCATGTACAGGGTTTCCAAGGCTGTAAATCTTTACGGGAACAGAAAACCTCATCTTTCTCGTGCGGAACAGCTGGTAGATTTGAACTGCTAACCTTGCGGTTCACAGCCCAATTTGTAACCACTAGTATATAGTGTAGACTAATAAGCAATTAATACAAAATATGAACTGCATGACATTTTATCAGTCATCATAGTTGAGCAGAATCTAAAGCATTCCACATAGCAAAGGGAGTTTAGCATAATTCTTGAGTTTACAGTCTAATAGGGACTCAAAACATATTTGTAAAAACCTAAAATGAACCAAATGACCTGAAATAAACCTATTCCCTGAAATCAATGTGCTCGAATAATGTTAAAGTTATAGGAATTTCTTTCTCATAGTAATTTTTTCATAGAACTATGATTTAATATTATACTTTTATCTAGGCTGACATATATGAAAACATCTTTTTGTCATTGAAGTCAGAGAACACTATTGATTGATCTTTATACATAGAAACCTTAGAGACAGATTTTTCTGAAGAGCTCAGCACTAGTCTCCCCCCATCCCTTTTTTGGTCATTTTAATTTATATTCTTTTAAACAAATAACTTATTAGATGGTGGTGGTTTTAAAGCCATTTTGTTTCTCTTTACTCTTTGACAGGCTTAGTACTGAGTTGTGTAGAGTTTTTGTAATTTTTCTTAGCCTCAATTATGTTGTAAATTATTTTATGACAGCCTGGAATTGTGCTCAGTTTTTTTTCTTTACTTTTTTTTTCCAGTTCTCTCTTGTCCTTTCATTATTTTTTTTTTACCCTTACATTTGAATGCAGGGATTACATTTATCGTTTTTTATCTCCACTGCCTTAGCGTAGTGTTAGTTTAATCAATGCTTAAATACAGTTTTGATGCTTTTATATTGTCTGTGCCCTTAACTTTATCAAATGTAAAGTATATAAAGTAGTATGTGTATGTTGTTGTTATTGTGCCGTCAAGTTGGTTCTGACTCATAGCGACCCTGTATAGGGTTTCCGAGGAGCAGCTGGTGAGTGTGAACTGCCACCTGTGGTTCAAACCCACCTTGCGGTCCAGTGCTTTATCCCACAGTGCCACACCAGGACATAAAGTATGTACTTATGTATAAAGTAGTTTATGTGTAAGCATTATATGAAAATCAACTGAGACTTTGAGCATGCAAGTAAAGATGATCTAGAGATAAAGATAATCCATTATTCTCTTCTGAACCTTACAATCATTTTTAAATCTAAGCAAGATGTTAGTGTTCTATACATTACCTATGTCATATATCACATACACACACTGCGTCTCTTTTCCTCCTAATGTCATTATCACAGGTGTTTTTTTTTTTTATTAAGTCAGTATTGTGTTTGTATATTATTGTTAAGTGCTGTTGACTTGGTTCTGACTCATAGCAACCCTGTATAGTGTTTCTGAGGAGCAGCTTGTGAGTTTTGAACCACTGACCTTGAGGTTGAGTGCTTATCTTAAGACACCACAGCAGGACTTTACAGAATATTATGAATTCAGCCATAATAATGGAAGAAAATGTTGGAAAGGGTAAACTATTCAGTTAGCTGATTTGGACTGATTTCATTTTTTTCTTGCTGTAGTGAGCATGAGATGCCTCCATGCCAACTGGGGAACAAATAGGTCCTGCATTAGAAAATTTTGAAGTCAAATATCAATAATCCAAAGGTGAAGATTAGTGGAAAGTACAGATGGTGGTGTTTGTTGTTGAGGTGTTACAGTGGTACAAACTAGTACAATAGTACAAAATAGTAGAATAGTTAGAAACAGACCTACCTGAAAATATGGTTCTGCCCTAGTGTTGCAGACTAAGTGGGACAGTTCTGAAGAGCAATCCAGGGTGTGGATGGTGGTGGTGGTGGTGGTGGTGGTGGTGTGCCTTAGCGTCAGTTCAGACTCACTGTGACCCTGCATAGGGTTTCTGAGGCTGTAAATATTTATGGAAGCAGAAAGCCTCAAGGGGGATAATCTTCCTCATATACTAAGAATATTGCTGCCATGCTGTTATGATAGTACTGTACTGTTAAATTCAAGGTCAGCAGTTCAGACCCACCAGCCTCTCCTTGGAAACCCTCTACAGAGCGCTCTGAGTCTGAAACAACTCACTGGCACTTACAACAACAACAGCCCTTTGTACTTAGTCTGCTTACTCATCATGATTGCTTTTCTGGCTTGAGGAGGAATGTATACTTAGTTGTCCATGAATCTCTGTACTGTGACCAACAATGCAGTCTGGGGTCAGAATAGGGATTTATAGCTAGGGAATGGAAAGCCAGGCTGAAGGTACTAACATCAATTGAACCCCTACTAATGGGAAAGGACCACATCAGGTGCTTTTACTTCATTATCCTTGCAGAATCCCTTTGAGGAGGAGGTAGGTAAAAGCATGGGTACTTAGGTAACCTGCCCTGTTTCACAGATTAAGTGGTAGAGCTGGAATTCAAACAGAGCTTTCATATTTATAAATTACTTTTGTTGTTATTTGTTGAGAAATCTATTTTAGACATCACTGGGGAATGTCTGAGCAAGATGTTAGTGTTCCATACATTACCTACCTCATGTATCACATACACTGTCTTTTCCATCACAGGCTTTTTTTTTTTTTTTTTTAATCAAGTCAGTATTCAGTGTTTATATATTATTAAGTGCTGCCAAGTTGTTTCTGACTCAGTAATGCTGTATAGTGTTTCTAAGGAGTGGCTAGTGAGTTTGAACCACCAGCCTTGCAGTTTAAACTGACCTTTAGATTGAGTGCTTATCCTAAGGTGCCACACCAGGACTCGATATATTATTGTAACTGTGTAAATATTTACAGTGGAACCTTATTTGTTGTTGTTAAGTGCTGATGAGTCGATTTGAACTGCTAACCTTGCAGTTAGCAGAACATTGCTTTATCCTACAGTGCTATGCCAGGTACTATAATACCATTTTCCTTATTAGCCTTTTTATTCAGGCATTAATACATTTATTTGGTGGTGGTGGTGGTGGTTGTGTGCCATCAAGTCAGTTCCCACTCATAGCAACCCTGTGTAGGGTTTCTGAGGCTGTAAATTTTTACAGGAACAGAAAGCCTCATCTTTCTCCTGAGCAGCAGTTGGTGTATTCCAATTGCTGACCTGTGCTTAGCAGCCCATTGTGTAATCCACTGTGCCACTAGAGCTCCTTTTTTGGGGTTGTTGTTTTTAAGTGCCATTAAGTCGGTTCTGATTCATAGCGACCCTGTATAGGGTTTCCTAAGAGTGGCTAGTGGGTTTGAACCACTGAGTT